TCCTCCAAGCTACCTTTAATAGAGTAAAATAAAGGATCAGAAAACAGTCACTTACGATACCAAATCACTAGCAGCCCAACAGGAGGATGCTCAGAATCTGAAGTGAAAAATTAGGATTAATAAAGATTAAAGCTACCAAAGCCTCTGCTCTTGCCTCAAACTCAGACAAAAGCACTTTTTCTAGAAGGTTTTCTCCAGTCTGTATTTTCCAGGGTTGACATGACCTCGTACCTCAGCGTAATTTCACAGTATAACTTTATTTTAATATGTGTGTGCTCACGCATGCATGTGTGTATGCGTGTGTAAAACATCTTGAACAGCCAAAAATACCTTGGAGGGAAGGTATGTGAAGGTTTTGACATTGGCCTCACTTAAGCATTTTATAATGCTCTAAGTTTATAAAAGGATTTCTCAAATTTCTGCATATTCAAAGGGTTGTTACCTCCTTTCTCTCTCTCTCTACAGATTTTCATAAACAATGAGTGGCATGATTCAGTGAGTGGCAAGAAGTTTCCTGTCTTTAATCCTGCAACTGAGGAGAAACTCTGTGAAGTAGAAGAAGGAGATAAGGTGGGTTTCCCAGCACTTATGCTAGCTTTCTTTGTTTCCCACCATGCTGCGCTCCCAATCTCACCACAACTTGGAAGTAAACAGGTCATGAAATTACCCTTTCTGGGGCCATCAGGGAAATTTTTCTTGGTACATCAGGGTTCTCAGTAGCCATGTGATGATGATGAGCCCATGGTCCTGGATGTTGTGCTGATTTTTTTTTTTCATGCTATTTCTCTTTGCTTGTTCTTCAGTTTAAATAATACTTGGGTTTATTATATAAACAGACTACATATGATTAGTCATTGATTTATAAGGCAGACAAATCCTTTATTTGTATAAAATTGTTCTTTTTTTAAGTTGCAAAATGAAACTAAAGGAAATAAGATAGAACGTTTGAAACAATATTTTGCCAAATTATTTCCTTAAAAATCATTGAATTGGTACCTTGAAAAATTGAATTTTAAAATCACAGAAATTGAACCATGAATTAAATGTATTGTTGCTTTCTAGCTAATCATACCACCAGCAACAAAAACCAACTTATATCATTATTATTTTTTTAATTCTAAATGTTAATTCAATCCTCAAGCATCTCGATGGGAAAGCTACTATTTGTAGCTGTTTTCACAAATGATAACGAAATAGCAGAATGGACAGGTTGACTAATTTATATTAGGGGACATTGCTAATAAATAATGAAATTTTTAAAATAAAAAGAATAATAATAACGAAATCAGTAGTCAAATGCTGCCCTTCTGACCCCAGAGTCTATGACTGGGAGGGAGGGCTGCCTTACCTTGTGATTATTATAAAAGTGAGATAGGACAATATGAAACAGCCTGGGGCGTGAGGAGAATGAAAGCCTTCTGATATTTCATCTGAGCATGTACCTTAAAATGTGAATGTGTTTCTCAGTCTTCAGTTGTCCAGATGTTATCAAGCTTGAAATCTCTGTCCTACAAGGTATTAAAAGGTAAATTATTTTGCTACGTAAAAAGACCATTGAAAGATGAAGTCCGGATAGCTCCCCAAGGATAATACCTTTTGTGACCCAGTGTTCAGTTCCATGTTCCTGCCCAGTTCCCATTCTTTCATAACCTTCTCCCCACGTGATGAGATCCCTAGTTGAAGGCATTAAGCCTTGCAGATTTATTCTAAGATAGCCATAGACCCCAGGGGCTCTTTTGGGTTTAGAGAAGTCCCCGGATTCAGGTGGCAGTATTCCCAGAAGACATAAGATCCGTGCCTCAAGGGGCAAGCATGCAGAGTTTAACCCGAGTGGTCGACAGCTTGAGAAGTAGATGCAGAATGGAGTGGAGAACACATGTCACCTACTTTCAGACTTCACTTTCTGTACATACCAGAGTTCATCTGTGCATAAATTCTTCATGGGATTCTCATTGGCCTCTGGGAAAAAAACAAAAACAGAAAAAAACCCTCTTGTTTTTGGCCTTTTCTCAGGCCACTCCATCAATGGAGGAGTTTTACCCTCACCATGCCCAGAATCACGGTCCAAATAGTGCATGCCGCTCACAGCCAGTGTGACTGCCAGGGTCAAGGTATGGTCCTTGGGGCTGTAGACAGAGCACAGATATTCCACATTTTATTGACCCTATTTAAGCTTGGGTTCCTTGTGGTGTATTGGTGAGATAGGAAAAACTTGGGGGAGGTTAAATAAGAAAAGATGTCGGGGCACCTGGGTGGCTCAGTCGGTTAAGCATCTGCCTTCAGCTCAGGTCTTGATCCCAGGACCCTGAGATTGAGCCCCATGCTGGGCTCCCTGCTCAGGGAGTCTGCTTCTCCCTCTCTTTCTGTTGTTCCCCCTGCTCATGCTCTCTCTCTCTCAAACAGATAAATAAAATCTTAAAAAAAAAAAAAAGATGTAAAGTGTTTTAACAGTGCCAGGCACATAACGAAGCTTATAGGGTCTTATAGGGTCTTATACTTCTTTAAAGCCCCCCAAATTTCCCAGGTAGACTAGCTCTCTTCTGTGCCAGTGCAGAATATCATCTTTATCTATATTATAAGCCCTGTGTTATATGGGTATCGTTTAATTTGTCTGAGACAGCCTGCTTCTTGTAGAGATCGACACTACATTTTACCTTTATACTTTTCAGTGTTTCACATGCTACAGGTAATGGATAAATGAAATTACATAAATCATATGTAAAAATCTTCCATCAAGCTCTGAGTTTCCATATACCCCCCCCCCCACATACACACACATACCTCGTCCTAGGAATCTGGTACTAAATTAACTACTGACTAAGGCAGTGTTTCTCACAGTTTTGCATGCACCTGATTCCCTGGAAGGCTTGTTGAAACACAGGTAGCTGGGTCACCCCTAGAGTTTGTTTCAATAATTCTAGGGTGGGGCCTGAGCATTTGCATTTCTGACAAATTCTCAGGGGATGCTGATGTTACTGGTTGGGGTGGGGGTGGTAGAATATACTTGGAGAACTCCTGAATGAGGTATTAAACCATTAAATTGTCTTAGCATTTGATAGGGGGCATAGACTTTGATAAGTAAGAAAGTTGGAGTTGGAACCTGCACTGTGATAATCTCGCCGCACCCCCTATGAAATGTTACAAGACCAAACTTGAGCAGAGAAATACTGATGATCCCTGGCAACGTGTTTTATGAGACCCAGAAGACTGTGTCCTTTGGGCCATTCTTAGAAAGAAGAGAAACCTGTGTTCTTCCTAGTCAACAGAGAAATGACTTTTTTATCAGAGACTACTGGAGATCTACCCAACACTACATTCCAGCCCCGCATTACATCAAATGTCCTTCTAGTTGCTAGAGTGGCTCGGGCAAAACCCAGGGTAGGTGAGGGAAGCAATAAAGGGCAAGGTGAGCTATGTCTGAGCCCCTGACAGCTGCCTACTCCTTCTCTCCAGAGGTATAAATGCTACTCAGGAGTAAGACTGCAGAGCTGGTTGCAGTTGGCAATTAACAAAAGAACACGTATTCTTGTTACTTTGGCTCTGGTGTCTTGGGCATCTCTCTTTGCCACTGGCTTGCAGCTTTAGTTTCATCAGTAAAACAAATCTGTGCCTGGAGTTCCAGGTGAAACCTTGTCAGGACATCTGAGGACTTTTCTTGGCAACGTTGGCGGGATTTACCTTCTTCCTAAAGTGTAGTGAGGGGGAGCTGATGATCATACCTGAAGCTTTAGAAATAGTTGTCTTTTTTTTTTTTTTTTTTTTTTTTTTTTGCTGTGTGCTTATTGACAATTACTCAGAGTGGAGCGGCATTGTGTCTGTGCAAAAGTAGCTCAGGAGGGTGCCTGGGTGGCTCAGTTGGTTAAGTGACTGCCTTTGGCTCAGGTCATGATCCTGGAGTCCCGGGATCGAGTCCCGCATCAGGCTCCCTGCTCGGCGGGGAGTCTGCTTCTCCCTCTGACCCTCCTCCCTCTCATGCTCTCTGTCTCTCATTCTCTCTCTCTCAAATAAATAAATAAAATCTTTAAAAAAAAAAAAAGTAGCTCAGGAATACTCATTAACATCCAGCAAAGCTTCGAATCAGGTCACAATGCTAATCAAGTTGCTAGATGCTTGATCACTTGAGGTCGGTTGTTTATGATATAAACTGTCCAGGGTAAGCCACTGTTTGCTTCACAGTCAGTGTTATTGTCATCCTGTTCTCTTTTGGAGTAATCTACTGATGTTTGGTTTTCAATGATTGCTCTTCTCACAATTTTGCGGACAAATGTGCATGAACTTCTAACATTGCTTAGTGAAAGGTACAAATTGAGTAAATTACATAGTCACCGTAAACCTAATGTTCTGGAACTGACTCTTTAGATAATGAGCCAAAAGGTTTTAGGGATTTAATTTATGAGTAGAATGGAGCTAACAATTGGCTATATACCGCCTTTCAATGGTGTTAAAAAAAAGAAAGGAGGAATGAGAATGAATGGAGGTTACAAAGCAAAGCACAGATGTGGGTGGGAACTGTTTTCTTTTCACTTCAATGGCTCTTTTAGGCTATATTGACTAATCCTGAAAACTGCTTTTAATACTAAGCATGACCTAACAAATAATTGGGGGGGATAAAAATAAATGTCCATTAAAGTAAGTGCTTATGACAGGTGTAAAAGTAAAACTGGTCTGATAACTATTTTCTCCAAATTGGAATGGATCTAATATGGAAATGTGCAGCCTGGGAGTGATAGAAAAGTTTGTCCTTCCTTAACTATGTTCAAGAGGCCTCTGGTGTTTCATCATCCGAACTTCAAAAAAAGGAACATTTAAAACCCTCTAAGGCAAAAGTGTTATTGACGGTGGCAAATCTGAGTTAATATGCCACATTGTTTGCTGGTGGATTAAAAAATTATGTCCCTGGAGATGCTAGTCCTGGAGTAAAAATCCAAGAAATACTGTTTGTAGAATTTAAACAACAACAAAAAACGCTTAAGCCTAATATGGTTAATGTAAAAGCTTTATTATGTAATGGAATCAATTAAAATATGATTTAAGATGTGAATGTCAATATAAGCAAATTATCTATATCAGGAGCACTCTTCTATAAAATCAATGCAACATGATGAGTTTAAAAGATAGGTAATTAAATTATTAAATATTTATTAACTGCCTATTGTAGGCCCAGAATAGTAAGGAATATTATAGCTTTTAACACAGATAGCAATAAATATTCATTGCAAAGGTCACTACCAGGATGTCTTGCAGAGCTTTAAAACCGGATTTGGGAGCCAGATGTGGGATCAAATTTTGGTTGATAGATTTCATGCTGGATTTCATGTCCTGTAAAACAAAGTCCATGGTGCTTAATTGTCTTAGTAACTGTGGGGTTACAGAAGGCTTCACTTAGTGCCTGGAACTTAGCAAGCTCTTCACTAGTAGCTAACATCAAGCTGGATTAGGCTGGTAAGGGTTTAGGTAGGTTGTGAAATTTGGTCTTAAAGAATATGTAGAATTTTGAAAATAGCGGGGTGTGCTGGTAGAACATTCTAGGCAAGGAGAATTACAGGAGCAAAGGTGAGAAGCAGTTGGGCCAGACGGAGTAGAAAAAAAAATGTAAAGACAAGTTTAGATAGGTGAGGTGGGGCCCCAAAATGTTGGGTCTTAAAAATCAGAAAGAAGAGTCTGGCCTTAGGACCATAGACAAAGGGAGTTGCAAGTATTTGAAAGGGAAAGTGATCACATAAAATTGTTTGAGGAAGATTAGCCTGGTGGCAATCAGCAAGACAGTGGAGGAGAGAAGAGAATGGCTTGGGAAGGCAAGCAACAATGAGATAATAACAGCCTAAAATAATACACGGTAGAGAAAATTGAAAGGAAAGATTAAAATATACTAGAACTGCTGAGAGTTATTTTAAGGTGGTTTTGCCTGTTTTGCCGCAACTATGATAGCCCTTGCTATCACTTAATGAACGCTCAAAGTCATGTCTGTCACATAGAACATGTATTTCTAGTGTTACCTTATTTAATTTTTAAAAGGACAATCTCCTGTCTTCACGATTTGATCATTAGCAGCCTGATACCAAGATTTACAGTATAGTGTTTAGTAAATTTTTGGATGGATGGATGGTTGGGTGGATGGATGGATGGTTGGGTGGATGGATGGATGGTTGGGTTCATGGATGGATGGGTAGATGGATGTCTCAAAACTCATAGAGCTAATAGATGAGGAACCAGAATTCAAACCTGGGTTGTTTTGTTCTAAATCTATGTATTAACTATCCTTACTCTACTTCTGTGCCTGCAAGATAAAAAATAGAAGATTATGAGAAAAGGAGGATTATGGCACAAAGGACACAACCACAGGAAAGTCTTTATTTCAAGAATGTGTTTTCCATATGGCAGAGTTAGATATATTGAAGCCATTTTTTTTTCATATTCCTTTGAGAGGCCAGGATGCCTCTGATAAACTGTATTTGGCTAAGGCCGTTGGCAGAACACTGAGCAGAAGGATCCAAATGAAAGCTGTGTCACACAGATCTGTTTAAACACAGAACAGCATATATTTTATAAGCTGTGGTATCCATAGATCACACTGGCAATTTCAGATTCTTGTGGGGTTTTTTCCAAACATTGCTGTCTGAATATAACTTGGAAAAAGTTAGAACTTATGGCATAAAACAATATCCAAATATAAACAATCAATGTGATTAACTGAGTACCCCCAATAAGACTATATACGTATTTCTCAGGAAGGGTGAGTATTAATGCATATATTTTATTGTATATAGTCATCATTCTCTCAAAAGTTAGGCAGTGAGATAAACAAGTGCATGATGTATTATAGTGAAAGAATGTTTGCTTGTGCTCTGTGAATGTTATCACTTAATCAAAGCAGATTACACTTCTCACTGGCCCCAGATCATCTTCGTGTGGTGATAAATGCTGTAAAAATAGTTTATTTGTTTGTATTTTAATTTGTAGACTTCTAAGTTTGGGACTTTTTAATGAAATATACTCCAAGGTAGGGGATATTTCCTTGAGGTTCATGATTCCTACTGGGGGAGGTGTCATTCTTGAATGGGGTTCAGCTAAATTGTGGGCAACTTTAAGAAAATTTTATGCAATTTTCTCCTCGAAATCTCAAAGGAAATTATGTCTTCTGCAAAAATTTCCAACCAACTGGCCTAAGATCTGGCCATGATTTGTGGAATTTATGTAGCTCTGTGTATACCAAAGAACATTGGAACAATCTATGCCTTTACGTTGTTTGCAACCGGGGAGCCTGGGTGGCTCAGTGGGTGAAGCGTCCGACTCTTGATGTCAGCTCAGTTCATTGACAGTCTCAGGGTTGTGAGATCAAGCCTCTCATGGGGCTCTGTGCTGGGCATGGACCCTGCTTAAGATTCTCTCGCTCTCCCTCAGCCAGCCCCGCCCACCCCTCCCTCACACTCATGCTCTCTCCATCTCAAAAAAAAAAAAAGGTGTTTGCAACTGATTTGAGGGAAAACAAAAACAAAAAACATATAAAGTGGTAATGGAAGAGGTGTGGTGGGTTTTGTAGTAGATGTAGTCTATATTAGCTCCAAAGAGATCTAAACAGGGATCTGTGGAATGAAGAGGCCAGGGGAAAGTATGCAACTGAGGTTGGCTGGGAAAGAACAGGAGGAGTCTACTTGACTCAGAGGAAAGAGTGTGAGTAAGAGCAACATGACTAAAGGCAAGAAGGCTAGACTAAGTGTGGAATTACTTGATTATTTGAGTTTGCTTGATTATTTGAATTAATATAATTTTAAGTAGCACCTTAATAATAAGAAACTGACTTCTGTAACCTAGTTAGGAACTGAAAGGATCTCTTTGTACCCAGCTGGGAAATGAGAGGTTGTAATATCCAGACAGATCCTTCTATATACCAGTTGCACTACTCTATGCCTTCTTCTCTCTGCACAAGAGGAATGAACACACGCTTACAGTGTTTACCTTCCAACAGCAAAACCCAGCTCTTATTCACCCTGCAGTAGGTTCTCGACGAGCATCCACAGGCTGTGGAGCCACCAGCCATTCAAGAAGATACTCACCAGTTTAGCTGATCTTGTGCTTTCTCTGGAACTCTTGGCCAGTCACCAAAGCTATACGTAGTGGTGAAGAGCAAAGACTCTAGGGTCAGAGGCGCTCCATTTAAAACCATTCTGCCACAGTCAGCTATGGCCCTTAGGCAAATTTCCTCCCTCTCTTTGCTTCAGTTTCTTCATCTGTAAAATGGGAAACGTATTTGTGTCATAAGATTATGAAGAATTAAATGAGTTAATGTGTGTAAAGTAATTTGAACATGACTTGATATGTGTATGGTAAGCACTCCAATGGTAGCAATTTTAAAATATTATAATATTTCTATTCAGGGAACCCAAGCCTGAGCTATGTGTGTGGAATTCATCATTCTAAAGATTAGGCAGCAGGTATAGAACTCCCATATGTGAGAGTTGAGTTTGTACAATGTGCCAGACTTTGGGCTAACAAAGACACAGCATCTGCATATGAGGACCATTAGTCTGTTTTATAGGGTTACTGCCATTGGATTTGCTAACACGTTTAGGCTACTGAAATGAATTCCCTTTGACTTGCAGGAAGATATTGACAAAGCAGTGAAGGCCGCAAGAAAGGCTTTTCAGCTCGGCTCTCCGTGGCGTACTATGAATGCTTCGGAGAGGGGGCGACTAATCTACAGGTTGGCTGACTTAATTGAAAGAGATCGTCTTCTCTTGGCAGTGAGTATCAACCAAACTTTGCAGGTAGAGAGATCTCTAGAAAGCATTCATTGTTTGGCAAGTTGCTTTGGTTTTAGTGATGACTACATGCTCTCTACAAAAAAAAAAAAAAAAAAAAAAAAGGAAAGATTTCTACCAGCTCCTGTATAGAAATCGTACATTGAGCTTATTCTCAAAGAAGAATCTGCACACTAGTTCTGGATGATGTTATTCTACTCCTATATTAGATTCTACAGTCTAAACCTTGGCAAACTGCAAGTTAAAGCAACTTAAACAAATTTCTTTTCTCTATTCCAGAATTCCTTAGAGCCTTTAACAAGGTCACATGCAGTGAAGATCCTGGAATAATATACTGGGTTTCTTCAACTTACCTGACCACTGAACTCTTTTTGTGGAAAATGTCATAGACTTTGTCAAAGGTTCCCAGAGTATTTCTCTAAAATAAACTTATTTCCCTTTAATCTAGCCCACCAAGAAACTTACCACATGGCCGCTTTTTCCCTCCTGAAATATACGTGTTCACAGTGGTCTGGATTAAATGATGTTCTTTTTACAGGTGAAAAAGTTGAAGAATAAAGAAAAAAAAAAATCAAATCATTTGTGTATTTGTAAAAACTGTATTTATTATGTATCCTGCTTTTTAAAAAACATTTTGGCAGTTAGATGAGTCAGCAAGTAAAATGGGTGGAGTGTTTCCTTGTTTTCTTTTCAATTAGGCATTACAGTAAAGCCAATTGAAAACAAACCAATACCAAGATCAAGTTTCAGAGCAAATTCTTATTACCTTTAGAATCTTATGCTGGCAGTAACAAAGAAGTCCATATACATATTTTTAAATCAACTTTAACAATTACAGTTAATCAAAGAACTATTTATTATTCAAAGGTTCGGCATGATTCAAAGAATGCAAAAATATGGAGTTAAGAAGTTATGCACAATAAAATTACGTTAACCGAAATGTCATGTAGGAAGAAAGCAGAATTTGCTAAAACTTGGCTTCTCTTATGCAACTGCTCTGTGGATTATAGAGTGCTCGCTGTCTCTGTCACCATAAGATCCAAAGGGGGAATAAGGAGCAGGCACACAAAAATCATGTTCGATTAAGTTTTGAGATGGCATGCAGCATAATGCAGAGACAGAAGACTGTATAAGAAATGAAGAACAATTTTAAGTTTTTCACCTGTATATTCCTGCCCTGGCAGGACACAAGTCCCAAAGAGCTCTTAAAGTTCCTGCTGAAGGAAAGAAGAAGAGAAACTAGGTCATCCGATAGATGGTTAGCTCACCAGACCAGAAAATGTTGTGCTGAAGAAAACTCATGAATGAAAGATCCAGGGATCACTGAAGTTTGCATACATTGGTTGCATCTGGATGGATTGCAAAATCAAAAATAATCACTGAGGCACCATTCATAGTCATGACACTAAATTGTCCCACAGTTGTATTTGTACAATAAGTGAAATTTTGCTGGGGCTCTGATCTGACTTAGGAAACTAAGTGCCACTCACTCTCACCAACTGTGTGTCCTTCAAATGGGGACTGATTCTTAGAAATCTGTCCAGCCAGAGGACATTCAGAATGAGATAGAAGGAATGCTAGGGTATAGAAACAAGAATCTTATCGCCCTTTTTATCTGTATCTTGTTATGTGACCTTAAGCAAGTCTAAGCAAGTCATTTTTACTTTTTTTTTTTTACCTCCTTTGTAGAAAGAAAAGGTTATGCGAAATGGCTTACAGGATTTTTTTCTATTTCCCAAATTCTCTAGCACATGATTATTCAAAATATTAACTCTTGATTTTTTAATTGAAAATGTTTATGGAAGTTTACGTTTGAGGTTTGATTTCCTTTTCAGACAATGGAATCAATGAATGGTGGAAAACTATTCTCTAGTTCATATCTGATGGATTTGGGAGGCTGCATCACAACATTACGCTACTGTGCAGGGTGGGCTGACAAGATCCAAGGCCGCACAATACCCATTGGTGAGTAGCTGTGAGAAACCACCAGGGGTGAGGGTAGGCGCGAGGCGATCGCTGTAGAGCTGAATTACTCTGAACTCTCCCTTTTAAAAATGTCAGCTGAAAAGCAGACTGATTTTCTCCTTGACTTTGAGACAATGCAGCTTTGAGCCTGGGAGTTCTGCGAAGATTTATCAAATGTTTTTTTCAAATTGTTTCAGCATAATCGTGCAGAAGATACCACTACAGATATTTTAGAAATATTCAAGTAAGAACATTTTTATGCCCACAGTCACTGAATTAGGGCAATTGTCTCTCTAACCGCCCACGCTTTTCACAGTCGGCCTCGAATGATTTACTTTGTATTCCCATAGTGAAATGTACACCCTTTGTATAATGTAATTATTTAAGTGTCTTTGCGTGTTCCTGTGTGAGACAATTATGGTCATCTGCACCTGGTCTCACTCAGTAGAGTTACAGTAGATTAATTCAACAAACCAATTCATACTGATTTATTTTAAGTAGCTTCAAACCGAGATGAGACTGTGTTTACAATAAGCTCAGTTTAAGAATTTGCGTGACGAAATGTGTATGTATGTGTTTTAGTATTTTAGCAGAGAATGCTAATGGAGAGGGATATAAAAAAGTGTCAATTGGGAAAACATTATGGGTAGAATTTAATTCATATAAACTTCCTGGCTCTAGAACTGCGGCACCCTCCAGGATGGGCATTTTCAATCTCATTCAAGCATCCAGCAGTAAGTTAAAAGCAGTAGCCAGGAATTAAAAGGGGAGAGTGAGAATATGGTGTTAAGAAGAAATGAAGCTATTCTCGAAATTTCTTTACCCTCTGAAAAAATGGGAGAAACTATTTTAAGTACAAATAGACTTGATAAGGCGGTTTCTTGCTATGATAGCCAAGAAGCTTTTGTGGGAACTGGAACAGAACAAAACAGAACAAAAAGCACAATGTAACCTCAGGATGACCACATCAAACTTTGAGGCATATGAATCAATCAAATCCAGATTGCAAAACAATGTCTTTTACTTCTGGCATTTTCTTTTTCTTTTCTTTCTTTCTTTCTTTCTTTCTTTCTTTCTTTCTTTCTTTCTTTCTTTCTTTCTTTTCTTTCTTTCTTTCTTTCTTTCTTTCTTTCTTTTTTTTTTTTTTATGAAGAGATTTGCTTTTATTGTTTGGTAGGAAAAAAAAAAAAGCACCTTTTAGAATAAGCCAGTAGGCTTGTAGGGAGATATTTTTTAATTCTACTCTTTTCTAATTTTGTTATTTTTACTTCAAAAAAATTCTACCATTACTGATAGAACTGTCAGAAACATAACTCTAAGTTATTGTCTTAGCCACACACCTTGTACCTTTTTTCTAGTAAACTTCGAGAATGAGGATAATTTAAAAAATAGCTCTCCTACAAGATCAGAGAATTAAATATCTTTCAGATATATTCCAGTTTTGCATCTTTGCCTTGACCTACATCAGTTTTACAGTTCCTCTCATTTCACATTACTATTGCAGCACTCGATTTTTCATTTCATAAGTGGTTGGGGATAAGGGGGTTGTTTTTATTTCTTTATTTGTTGTTTTGTTTTCAGTTATTGTCTACACCTTCTTCTCACATCAACCCATGACCATTCCTTGAATGTCAAGCATATTTGTCCACAAATGATTTGTGTGTTTTATTTTGCAGATGGAAACTTTTTTACTTACACGAGACATGAGCCTGTTGGTGTATGTGGCCAAATCATTCCTGTAAGTTGGTCTCCTATATGATTTTCAAGCTTAAAAAAGAAAAAAAAGAAAAAGAACTCTAATTCTATTTCATTTGGTAAAGAAATTTTCTCCAGCACGTAGGGATTCTTAGATATTTGCTAAATGTGGAACAAATGTAGTAACTGATGAGCTCAGGTCTCCCTGTGACTGAACTCTTTGGATATGAAGGAGGTGGTCCAGAAATATATCTATATTGTGGGGTATCACTTGAGTGTGTTTTGATATTACAGCATTGACCTATCTTAGCCTTTCACTCTGTGATTTGTTTTTAAAAAACTGTGTTATATACTCTTTTTAAGACCCATGCTTCACACGTATGTAACAAAGCAGCTATTGTTGGCTTCTCTCTGTAGGATGCCATTTTAGCGAAGCAGTATGGCCTACTATTCTCCAACACAAATTATCTCCCCGTTGAGACTTCTCATCATGGAGAAGAGTAGCAACCAGTGTTTGAGTCCTAAATGCATTTTTTAAATTAAAGTGGAAGAAACTGTTGGAGTACTGTATGGATTATCCTACCTTTAGCTGTATTTTTAAACAGAATCATGAAGATTTTCTTTTAAACCCAACAAATGGGAGACGATCTAAATGATTTCACCGACATATTCAGAGAAGCCAAATAAAAAGATGTTAAAGTATTCTGAAGCTTTCAGCTGGGAAAGCGTCAATGACTTATCTTCTGCTCCAATGAGATTGAAATGCATCCATAGCCACATTTTGAGTGAAATTGCTCATTAGTTCAAAACTCTCAATAAAACTAATAAAAATTACACAGTCCTGAATACTAGTAATAGCTAATATTTATTGCATGCCTATGATGAACCCATCACTCTCTTAAGCCTTTGGCCCACTTTCCTGAAGAATCCTCATGATAACCTTTTGAAGTAGAGAGGATTTTTATCAGCATTTGCAGATGATGAAATCATGCATGGAGAGCATGTAACTTGTCTGAGCTCACTGGGCTGGTCAATGATTGAGCTGAGATTTGAACCAAGTTCTTAGCCACCAGACCCTAGACTTTTTGTCTTTAGCAAGATATTTGCCTTAGAAATAAACACTGCTACTACTACTACACCCCCCCCCACACACACACATACACACACACAGTTTTTATTATTGAAATATAGTTGACACACAATGTTATATTAGCTTCAGGTCACTGCTAAATATTATTATTGGGTACATGGTTACAACAAATGATCTATAAGGAGGGAGGAATAATTACACTTTTCAAAGATGTGCAGATAACTTACAATATGTTTAACAGTCAGGCTTGATTTTTAAACCATGCAGTAATTTTTTTTTTCCTCCAGTAGATGAAGAACTCAAAATAACAGCACTTGATAAAATTTTTTGGCTCTCTTCCACTCCTGTCCCATATCTACTTTACTTGAAGCTTTCCAGCATTTATCAGTTGCTTTTAGCAATGAACTTAATTTGAAGACACCAGTTGATTACACAAAACTACCACAATTATTATTCCACATCTTTAGGTAGTGAATAATGTAGAAGTTAGATTAGCAAATGGGGCTTTCAGCAATACAAAGAATCTATTGTTCCCTGTTGCTTTCTAGTGGAATTTCCCGCTGGTCATGCTCATTTGGAAGATAGGGCCTGCCCTGAGCTGTGGAAATACCGTGGTTGTCAAACCTGCAGAGCAAACTCCTCTCACTGCCCTTCACGTGGCATCTTTAATCCAAGAGGTGAGTTCCCCAAATCAAAATATGTGTGAGAACTCAGGAACTCTCCTTTCCACTATGAAGGCCTCACTTGGTGCTACATAAACCACTTGCCAATGGCTCTGTCCAGATGAGGACACATTGAATATGGCCACCAGCTGAGATTTCCAACAGTCAGCCGAAATGAACTGCCCAAATGGAGACAAGAAGTCAGACTCAAAGGCTTCATGTCAAACAGTCACCTTATGATCACTTTTAGTTTGTTTCCTTAGCTTAACTCATGAATGTGAAGTCACGTTAAAATTGATGTATCTTTCTTTCAAATGTTGAAATGAATATTGGTTTCTAACTGGCACTAATGGCCTGGAGGTTCTGCAAATTTTTTTAAACTAATCCCTCCGAAGGTTGGGGCCTGTGTGCCAATATGCTCGCTTGTAATATTGGGCCACATAATTTTTTTTTTTTTTTTTTTTTTGAGAGAGAGAATGAGATAGAGCATGAGAGGGGGGAGGGTCAGAGGGAGAAGCAGACTCCCCGCCGAGCAGGGAGCCCGATGCGGGACTCGATCCTGGGACTCCAGGATCATGACCCGAGCCGAAGGCAGTCGCTTAACCAACTGAGCCACCCAGGCGCCCGGGCCACATAATTTTTTAACATATCTTTCCATGAGGGGGCGTGTTTATATTCTGTTTTCTGTTGTGGTTTTCTCTGCATTTACCTTCTTGCTCAAAAACTGGCCAAAAAAAAAAAAAAAAAAAAAAGCACATGAAATTTATTTTCATCAATTATCCAGGTTGGGTTACTGTCTTTTTTCTTGCAATGTCTTGCCCTTTGTCCTTCAGATCTTTCCAGAACTTAAAAACCAGGCTTTAGTTACTAGAAACTTAAATTTAAAAAATCTGAACCTAAATCTTAAAACTATTCTTCACTTCAAATTTTTTTAAAAAAGGGAGGGCAAAAGAAATGTCAAAATGGGGCATTTTGATGCCAAGAATATGAAATTTCAATGTGCCCATCTCAGGTACACACTGTTTTCTCCCTGATTATTCTTTAACCAGGAATGAAATCAAACTGTGAAGCTTAGTCATGCACGGGAGGATAGTTCTTATCTGATGTTTTACTGATTAAATATTGCCAGTAGGAATTTGCAACCCAGTTGGTATGGCCTAAACAATCAGTAGCTAGAAACTGAAAATGCAAGATCCTTTTAGCTTCTTAGTTTTGCCAGTAGGATAATAATTGCATTGTTTTCCTTCTATGTGAGTGATTTCCCAAGCTCTTTTCCACACACTATCTTTCTGAGTTACTATTATGAAATCTGAGGCAGCCATCACTGGGGCAATGATCCAGAAAAGTCAAACATGGATTTCTGCCCCCAAGGAGAAACACTTCCCCAGTAAGGTAATTTGGGAGGTTTTTTTAAGTGGGCTACAAAATGAAATAATAATAATAATAGCACTTAAATGAATCTTTCTTGGTAGAGAAACTCATAAGCTCAGCATCGGGAGGCGGCTTTGATCCCAGACTCTCCTCTTTTTAATCACAGAATTAAATTCTCAGTTCTGTCATAACCATTTTACTTTTTATCCTCAGGCAGGTTTCCCTCCCGGAGTAGTGAACATTGTCCCTGGTTACGGGCCTACTGCTGGGGCGGCCATTTCTTCCCACATGGATATAGACAAAGTGGCCTTCACAGGATCTACAGAGGTAACATTAATCACTCAGGCCAGTACTGCAGAAGGTCTGCATGTCCAGGTGTCAGAAGCATGTTTTGTGTCACTGTTTTTAGGCCGACATTTCTCTAAAACAAAAGTTCCTTTTAATGATTTGTTCCTTATTCTAACCTTCACACATGTTTATAGAACATAAGCAGATGTGGTTGAGATGAAGCGGGGTACCTGTCACACACGCGGCCTGCATGAAACTGTTTCTAGTGGGTTCATTACTTTCCTGACAAGAAATAGAGCTGATGAGACCCTGTCGTATGATTAGTATGGTTTATGATAGAAAATCTAAATTAGGCCGCAGTGATTTGTATGAATGGATGTAATCGTACCCTGTAGATTATGGAAATTAAAGAGCAGAGCATCACCTTTAGCTCCTTATTTGGGGCTCTCTCTTTCCTGATCATTCTGAAAGGGAGCCAGCAACTCAGCTTCCTGAGTGTGACTGCTGGCTTAGCTTAATTTTTATGCCCCTCCGGCTCCAGCTTGACTTTCCAGAAGGTTAAAGAGCAGGGTCTCAGCCATGGGCGCTGCAAGAAGAGGCAGGAGGGAGAGAAAGAGGGAACCGCCTGGAAAGTGGAGTTTGGGAGAATGAATTCCCATCTATTGAGATGAGTTTCTGTTGCAAGCAAAAAGAAAGTGGTAAAATCATACCGTATCAAGCAAAAAACAGTTCGAGTCCTCCTGTTGGATGATGTGACATTGTGAGATGTTCAGTGCAAATATCTTAGCGGTATACAGTATAAAGGATGAAGAATGAAAAGAGCCCCTTCTTATAAAACTGCGGTTACACATAAGATACAAGACAGGATGTGATAAGATACTAAGAGCTCTATAAGGGCATTCACAGCAAGGAATGATGATGTCTACATAGGGGCGAGAACCTGCTCTGAATTTTGAAAAGCGGTTACTTTTTTAACTCCCCAGAGATTGAGAAGCAAGAAGAACATTCTAGATAACGAGGAGAAGCTAATTTGATTATTTTATATTCCAAATTAGCCACTCCAATATAAAGAAACATTTACATAGAGAACTAAAACGGTGGAAAGTAAAATTTTATTTTTCTTGATCTTTTAAAAACTAGATAAATACAAAAATACTTTTTTATGTTTCCTAGACACAGAACAGAAAAGGTTTACATTCTACAAACGCTCATTGAGGTAGGGGAAAGCAAATCCTGCATTCAGGATTCTGTGGACAGAACAACTGGGAATGAGACATGGCAGTAAGTTAAAAAAAAAAAAGGTGAAGTCACAGATCAAAATCATAGCAGAGGTAAAGGCAGGAAGGTACAAATTCCTCAGCCTAGCATTCTAAACCTCCATGCACATTTGCTGCTCTAGATTCCATGCCCGCTCATTCCCCGGCTCATCTGATTGCATCTCTAGAATCCCTGCCTATTTGTCTTGGCCCATCCCTGGGTGCTTTGGAGCACTTTACTTGCTAAAAGTAGAAAAAACTCTGAGATTAAAAGACTGGGAAACATCTGGGTTCAAATTTTGACTCTACCCCTTTAAGCAGTGTGTCTTCCAAACATTAAGTATCATTGCTACATTAGTATTTCTCATTTTTATGTGAATAATAATAGCTACCTTATTCTACAAAATACAATTGAAGGAGCTAATGAGTAGTGAAATATCGAGCACCCCATAGGGTATTCAGATGTATCTTTTCATTCCTCCAGGCTTTTGCTCACTCGTGGCCACACCTACTATAATATGGCTTCCACCACCTGCTGCCTCTTTGGCTTTCTCTGCAGTCCCAGGGGCATCCTGAGTTTTAAACCACCCCCCATGTGTGTTCCCCATTGTCCGTGATCTATAATTATGATAGCTCATGCCCATTGCTTTGTCATTTATCTCTCTCCTTTGCTGACCATCCTCAAAGACTGTCCTAGTCACTGTTATCTGCAAAAGCCAGTATAGTAACTACTTCCAAGTAAGTATTAAATAACTAAATGTAACTAAGATGATTTTAGAGGCCACACAGAAAAACCAGTCTTTCTGGGCTCTCTTTTAGCTTCAGGTTTGTTGCTTGGCAGATAATGGGAAACTTGCCAAGTGCCATGAAAGAGGCAAACCATGGATTATATCTTTTGTGGTCACGGTAGCAATGATCCTCTTTCTAAAAATGCTTCTGGCAAGGTAAGAATTTTAATGTCCCGTTAGATTCATTTAAAACAGAATAAAACAAAACAAAACAAAAAACAGAATCCAATGCACATTGTGCAGGATGTGGTAAATTAGACCATTTTCACTTGCTACTTCTGTCTCACATGACAATGACACAACATCATGGGACATATTGCTTACCATAGTCTCGAAGGTTCTTCTCTTTCTTCATTGCAGACCTCTTTAGGAAAAATAATGAACCTTTACTTTTTTCCAAGTAAGGGAACAAAACCATGGAACAAAATTGATGTTTCCTTGTTTTGGCTTTAACTAGACCTTTGGGAAAACTCAAACCTTTTATTTGCCATCGAAACTTGTACTAAACAAAAGTGTAACCTTTCTCCCTTACTCATACTTCTGGCCACTCTTCATTCTAGTTCTTCCGACATCTGTTGCTTTTAGAAAAATATCTCTGATCTCATTCCCTTCCCTGAGACACAAATTATCTAACAAAGTTTCTCCAGTAAATATTTCTAAGTTAAAAAAAAAAAGATGAAGAAAGAATTTGGAGAATTCAAAGGAGGAAAAGGAAAGAATGTAGGAAATAAAAAATTCTTAATCACTGTAAATGAAAATTTAAAAAGAAGTATATTGTGGAAGGAAAATGGCATATAAGAAAAATTTCAGATAGGATTTCCCCACCGCAAGTCTCTTCTCAGTTTCTTTTTATTAACCTATATTAAAGGATTTGATTTAGCACCTGACATCTTTAAATAAGATAAAAACATTGGCAGCTTAATTATTGCTCTGCTCTGTAAGGCATGGTAGCAGTCAGTTCAATAAGCACATAAAATTCAAACATATGCTCAGCAAGCACCTACTTATCTTTTGTTCAGTTGGGATAGAAACTTTTTATTAAAATCTGATGTGTCAAATAGGGAAAAAAAAAAAAAAACAACCCAGAAGCAAGATAAAATGAATCATCTTTCAAAAAGAAAAGCAAAGATCATTTAGGACATTAGGACTTCAATAAAAATAGTAAAGAGGAAATAGTTATAAAGCAGGCCAGGTCTTAGAGATGGAAAAATAAAACAACTACAGAAAATAATCTTGATGGGATGGGAGCCACAAAGGAAAAAATGAAAACAATGTCTTTCTCTGAAGAGGGGCAACTAGCATTAAAGAAGAAGCCAGAACAGTAGGATTCCAACAGCACAGAGCACAGATCCAATTTCTTTTTTCTAGCTCCACAGTTCGAAGTTGTGGGGAGAGAGAGGAAGGGAGGAACGGAGGGAGGGAGGTGGGGGGAGAGAGAGAGAGACCTGGCAACCAACCGTAGTTCAACAAACCCCCACTGTGACAGAGAGTGCTGAGAAGTATGCAATGATAGGACTTTATCACTGCCACCAAGGGGGTGATATCTGTTTGGGAAATTGATGTGTTTACAAATAATACAATCCAAGGGAGACTCTGAAACTGTTCTAATGAGGGTTCTATGGGGTGTGGGGGGGTGGGAATAAGAGGAAGAAAAAGTCATGTCTGCCTAGAGTCAACAGAGCAAGCTTCAAAGAAGAGTTCAGGTATCAGCCGGACCTCAAGGAAGGCTGGGATTGGGGGCGGCCCAGGTCAGGGTGGGCATATAATGAGAAACAGAGATGAGGTTTAGGGGGCAATAAATATGCCAGCTTGGATAGAGTTCTCTGGATTTCAGTAGAGGGATGAAAAGTCAAGTAGATAAGTGATGGTTGGATCGTGATATGTCCAGTCCATAATAGAAAGATGAAGTTCTGATTAAAACGAAAAATACCTCCTGCCCAGTTCTGTCTGTCAAGATCAGCTGTCATTTTCTATGTATCTGTTCTCATGAGTGTTTTTCTGATTCATTATGTTTATGCTCGGGTGGAGGAGCCTTTGATATCTGAAGGCGCCAAATCTTGAGAAAAGCCATTTAATGTTTCTCCCCACTGGAATTTAACTATGGCACAAACCTCATATACATTTAAAATGCTAAATAAACCCGCGTTCAGGAGAGCAGATTCAGCCTCCTCCTCTGTAATGCTCCATTCCAGGTTGGCAAGATGATCAAAGAAGCTGCGGGGAAAAGCAATCTGAAGAGGGTGACCCTGGAGCTTGGTGGAAAGAGCCCCTGCATTGTGTTTGCTGATGCCGACTGTGAGTGAGGGCCACTCTTAACTTTTCACCCCTCATCGTGGTGTCTGGCAATGCCGGACGGTGACCTTGAAGTTTATAAAAGGGTTTGCTTCTAACATCAAAATGTAAGGCATTAACCAGAACCTAGAATGACTCTTGAAAAATCTCTCAAAATGTCCTAATGTGTCACACCTAGACGAGTCTAATGCAGACACTCTTTCTTCCTGGAGTGGAATAGATTGCCATTTTCGCAGCTGAACTCTAGGCAACCAACTGTCTTGCACTTGGGAGCTGTGGTGTATTTTTTTTTTAATTCCATGCCTGTAAATATTAGCATTGGGTTAGGCATGGTGACATACCCCCAGTTATGTTGGACTGGGACCAACTAGAGAGATGGCAAATTTCACATTTGTCATTTCCCTTCGCTCTGGGTCATACACACATTGAATGAAAGGGTCAGAAGAGAATAACACTTAGCATTTAAGGAGTTTCTCTCCCTTTTTTCCTAGCTCGTGTGGTCGAATTTACATATATTCCATCTATAATTATGATGTGACTCCCCTATACAATATCCCTGGTTCATTCTGATTGTATTATCGAGTAGAATCCCACAATTCTATTCTAAGTGGGAGTCAGTCAGCAGAAATGGATTGTCAAGCATTCATCTAGCTCTTTCTTTGATAGCTGTAGCATAAGGTAATAAACAGAAATGGCTGAGTGTGATCTTAGCCGAAGCTTTTCAGAACACACTGCCTTATTATATATTCCACAAATATGATAAGAGTCCTGATTTTTACCAAACCTCTCTAGAAACTGTTTCCACTACAACTTAAGTAGGTGCGGTTAGTTCACAAAGTAAATATCACAATACTCAATTGCTATAATGTTGAATTAAATCTCCACCATTTAAAAAATTAAAATGCAGAGAAAACCTCAGGTTGTTTAGGATTTAGTGATGACAACCTATTTTTCCCTTTCAAGCCCCATTCTACCATCTCACATATGTAGATAAGAAGATTTTATAGGCATATATGAAATAATATGGCATATTTTAAATAAAGTTGGAAAATGTTTTTCCTGGAACAGGGCTGTCAAGGTGGGTGAGTGATTTTGAATATTAATTTTTTTTTCAGAAATATCATTTTTCCTATTGATCAGGGTGTCTAAAAATATTTTTAAATTATTTAATGCAATAGATAGTTCATGTTTCCCAATGAATCATGGAACACTACATCAAATAAACAAATAATGAAAGAAAGAAAGAAAGAAAGAAAGAAAGAAAGAAAGAAAGAAAGAAAGAAAGAAAGAGAAAGAAAGAAAGAAGAAAGAAAGAAAGAAAGAAAGAAAGAAAGAAAGAAAGAAAGAAAGAAAGAAAGAAAGAAAGAAAGAAAGAAAGAAAGAAATGGGAATATGAGATACTATCCTGGCACTGTACTAGCCTTTGGAATAACCCAGATTAACAATATTTCTTTCCTGTCCTCAGAGAGACCACAACCCAGGGATGGAAATAAACTTTTCTAACCTTTTTTGTTTTGTTTTGTAACACCTCGATTGAAAAACAGTTTAGATACCATAAAATTCACCTTTTTAAAAGTGGGAAAAAAATAGATAGTTCATGTTTTCCTTGTCATTTAGTTAAAATCTGAGACCTGAGATATTCAGTCATCTAACTAATTATAAACAGAGATTTTTATAAAAATCATGTGTAGGGGTGCCTGGGTGGTTCAGTCAGTTAAGTGTCCACTCTTGGTTTCGCCTCAGGTCATGATCTCAGGGTCCTGGTATCAAGCCCCAGGTCAGGCTCCATGCTCAGCAGGGAGTCTGCTTGAGATTCTCTCCCTCTGCCCCTCCCCCCATGTGCATGCGCTCTCTCTTTCTCTCTCTAAAATAAAAATATCTAAAAATCATTTGCAGTGGGATAGGATCTTATGACACTTTCTATATTCTTGGTAGTGTCTATATTAATTTTTTCAGATTCTATATTTGTGGCTATCATTTCCATATTAAATAAAGGATTAGAAAGGTTAATTTGTCACCTGGCTGATAAGAGGTGGGGTGTATTGAATCTACATCTGACTGTGCAACTCATAATTTTTCTATAGCATCCTATTGCCTCTGAGAGCGATGTATACAAATATGTAATCTTTAAAAAAAAAAATCTCTTCTTCAATGTGAGTATCTTCTTTGCAGTGGACAATGCCGTTGAATTTGCACACCAGGGGTTATTCTACCACCAAGGCCAATGTTGTATAGCTGCATCCAGGCTTTTTGTGGAAGAATCGATTTACGATGAGTTTGTCCGACGGAGTGTTGAACGGGCTAAAAACTATGTCCTTGGAAATCCTCTGGCCCCAGGAGTCAATCAAGGCCCTCAAGTGAGTATACAAAAGAAGGAATAGCATTCACAGGGGACAAGAATAAAGTGTCCTCTCTAGATTTGCTTTTTATTGAATAAGATTGTTTCATTACCATAGATCTTCCTAGGTGACAATACTGTATCAGTTCGGTGTTTCAAAAAAAAAAAAAAAAAGCAATGAATCTAACTCCCAGTGTTAAAGAAAGCTAAATCCTGGGATAAGTACCTGACAATGCCCAAAGGAACAAGGAGGATATGCTACCTGACCTCATGGAGTTTACAGTCTGGAAGAGTTAAAAGGCTAACTTGGCTTTTTCTGCCCATGCCAAGATAGCCAAGTAGGAAAACCTTAGGATTTAGGCAATGCCAAATATTAAAACCTAAAAGCCCTCAAATAACTCAGCTGGTAAATGAAGTAATATGTTGTTTTATCTTAATCACATTATATTTTATATTTTTTCATTGGTAAAGTGATTTTCCAATTTGATTTCATAACCCACATCAAAGGTTATAACATTATCAGAAGTTGCATCTTGTCCTAATGCAGAGACATGGACTTTCAAAATAGAGGCTGGATTTAAAATCTAACTTCCCTGAGGCTCTGTTTTCTCATCTGTAAAGTGGAAGTAGTAACACCAATCTTGCAGGGTCAGTGCACAGTGAAATGCAATAATCTATACAAAGCATCTGAGTGCCTGGTTCACAGTATGTGCCCAAATGTCTGTTGAGTAAATGAAAATTGCATGCTTCCATTTATACCTATGGTGACAATTACTATCACAGATCAATAACTTCATATATCCGCTCTCATTGCTCTTGTTGATCTTTGGTTTCCAAATGATTTAAAGGATGTTTCAGTGTCATTTCTCAAACTTTCTTTCTCAACCCATCAACCCTAAGGAATTAAATAATTTG